TTTTAATATCAATTGGTCATTGCAATGCTTTATGTGTTTTAATTCACTGCCATTCGTCTCTGCTTGTGCCCCCAGGCAATTTTTTTCCAGCACCAGGGAACAATTTTCAAAATTAAATAATAATATTCAAGTGGTATTTATTCCAGGCCTCTTTTGTTTTTCCTCGAGGGGGCATTTTGGAGCTGTGATGCTTAGGCTTGGCATCATCAATCAGGTACTCTTGGGTGAGTCTCAAACTTTACCTTATTGAAGATAAATAGTGATAATAAAATACTATGAAGAGCCTGATGAGATCATAATGTGTTGGGGAAAAAGTTTTCCATTCAAACAGAAGACTTGGGTAGAGCAGGTTCCTGACAAAAAATGGTCTCCAACTTTTCTAATAGGTTGTATTCCAAAAGTTCACTTATCAGTGGTTCTGTGGAACCTAGATGGCATTTTCCTATCAAAATAATGTTATAAAATTTCCCAGAGAACAAATTAGATAATAAACCACCTTCTAGCTATGAAGTGTTATAGAATTGTGGGCTTTTATTATTATTGCTACTATGTGGGGAGGTGAAGCTAGGTTCCCAGGCTTGCCTACGGAAACCTATTATACTGAATGTAGCAGAACTATGGTACTGAACTAAGATAATCAGTATCTATAACAATATTTCTTTATAAAATTTTTTTCTTCCATTTTTATGCCACATTTATTTCTAAATCTATTCCTTTTTCCTTCCCTTACCCAGCAAACCATCTCTTGTAACAAAGGTTTGTTGTTTTTTTTTTAAAGCAGTTTGAAAAAACCAGTCAATGCTTCATCTTTGTCTGATGGTGTGTGCAGCATTCCACACCCATAATCTCCCACCTATGCAAACGCTGAAGGGAGGCACCGGGGTTTGATGATTGTGGACATTAGACAGAGGTCAGTTTTTAATGATATTCTTTCATTTATGTTGTGTGACAAAGTTTCTGTGAGAAATACATTTATAGTTTTACCTTGTGACACTAGGAATATACCTCCCCACACCTCAGTAGTGGGCTCAGAGATCTCCCCTGCTCCCCACCTTTGCAACTTGCTAAGTGCTCCAAGCAACCAATGACTGTCTCAGTTTCAAGCCACCAGTGGTGGAAGGCAGGGGATGGGGTAGAGTCCGAGAAGGTGGAGGTTCTCTCTACATCTGCCTTTTAGCTCGGCCCCCCAACCACCTCCTGGAGCTTCTTTTTTGATGAATATCTTCAAAAACTTTCTCAGAATTTTCTACATCTAGGTCTCTTATGCAGGCACACAAAGTCATATTCAGCATTCTCTCAGCCAATCAAGAGTCACTACTCCTTCCTCAACTAAACAAAGGGCTGTCCCTCTGCAAAACTGCCCCCAGGCTTTCATGGCAGCAGAGGGTGGGCAGAGATCTAGAGAGATAGCAGTGTGACTGTTTGGAAGTAAGGGGAGCTAGTGATGGGTAAGGAGAAAATGGGTAGGAAACCCTAGGGGTTAGCTGTCAGGAACTGTGGGGACCCTGGGCCTCTCGCCAGGAGATATTTCTTAATCCTGGCTGGCTTCCCAGTCATTCCCTTTCTTTCCTTATGAGGGGGCTAGGACAAAGGATGTTAACAAAGGGTCCATGGATTGATTTTGGGGTGTCTGCGAGCATGGATAAAAAAAATTACTTCTTTATTTTCATTAACCTCTAACTAAAATGTAGTGTTTCCTTTAATTATTTAAAAATCCTATTTTGAGAAGTTCATAAAGCTTCACCAGATTGCCAAAAAAAAAAAAAGGTTTGGAATCTGTGGTCTAGGGGCTGAACCATGTGCTCTCTATGGTCATTAGTTGCATCTAAAAAGGCAGCATGGGGAGTCTTTACTTGGCTCACTGTAGAATAGAACCACATATTTCCATCTTAGAAAACTTTCTTCTGGAGATTTTTAAGGTTAATAAAAAAAGAAATAGGGAATAAAAACAAAAGCCACCAAGTCCTTACCCTCCTCCTTCTCTCCCTCCTCTTCTCTAACTCTCCATCCCTCCGTCTTCCTGCTTTCCTTTTCTCTTTTTCTCTCTTTCCCCCTTCTTCTCTTTCTTCTTCTTCTTTTTTTTTTAATTTAAAGAACAAAAATCACACACTGGCGCTGATGTTAGTCTCTGTACGAAGAAGACTGAAATTAGATTTTGGATGAAAAACACTCAGGCTATTGTAGGCATTCTGTACCAGGAACTGGAGTTGGAAAAGGGGCCTCGGGGTGGTGGACAAGGAAGTAATATGAAGGAGAATTATTTACATTTTGATTTCTTTTTAGGGCTTACAAAATACTTTCCTTGCAGCAACCTTGAGAAGTAGATACTGTAGTAGTGAGTGTGTTAATATTTAGCAGCTCAAGCAATAAGGGTAAGGGGCAGGACATTTGAAAGGCTGATGGAAAGAGAGAGAAAAATGAGAAATGGTGGTGGGAGGAGCTAACCTGACTTTTTCAGGTCTTTCATTTATTTGCCTTCAGACGGACTTTGATAACTAGGCTTTAGTACTATTGCTCTCTGGGGAAGCCCCATGGACTTTGCTCTGGTGCTGAGGGGATACCCTTCTTATCTACTCTTGCATGAGTGGAGCTGAGCTAAGTTCCACTGGACAGTTAAGGGAGGGGAGGAGAAGAGACACATGCTCAGCGCGTAATGATTTTGAAACGATGCAACAGCCCTTTCTTTGTTCCTTGTGACAGCAGCAGGGATGAAGGTGCGGTAAATTAGAGGATTGGCCACTGAAGCAGTAGAACCAGGTCATCCAGTAGACTTTAAAAGGAGTGACTGCCCTATGCCGTTCTACAGGTGTGGGATGACACTGTGAGCCCCTCTTGCCCATCTCCACCCCAAAAACTATGGAGGCTGAATGTGACAGTGAGCACATGAGCTTCCTAGGAGAGCCTGATTCTGGATCTTGGACTTCCTGGCTGCTATTTCTGCTTGGATTTCTTTCAATGAGTATAGGTTTCCAAATGGCGATGTCTTGGAGGCAATCTCATGAGTATGAGTCGTCGTAGGCCTAGAGGCCTCCTGTTGGTGCCAGCTGCAATGTGGGGATTTTTGCCCTGAACTTACAACAAATGCTTCTTGGAGGAGAAAATGGCCATTGCTGGGGAAAGAGCTCAAGCCACTACCTAACTTGCTAGGAGATAGGAATCTTAAGGGAGTTGCTCAGATAGTGTGGAGCTAAGATGAAGGTGAAATGAAAGTCTACAAAATGTTTCATGGTTTCATGTTTTAAGAATCAACTTTCTGAGAGAATAATAGAAGTTATGAGTTACTCTTTAGTATTTTAAATCTTTGGCAATGTACGCTTATAAGTGTTTGTGTTCTAAGAATGTCATTTGTGTCTAGTAAATAAATAGCTGTCCTATATCTGACCTAAATTGTACAATGAGTATTTTCCTACCCCTACACATGAGTCAAACCTAAGCTTTAAGTGATGTTTTTCTGGAGTGGAAACATAAAAGGTCAGAGATCACAAAAAAGAGCCTGGACCTTTTCTTTAGAGACCAGGCTCTCTGAGGACTGAAACTAGACTGCCTGAGTTCAGAGCTAGGGCTCCTTTATTGGAGAAGGTGCTCGCATCGCACCCAGACCAATATCCATCTCTTGTTGCTGAGGTACAGATGTAGAGATCAATGGGGTTATCTGGGGGGGGGGTGGAGAGAGAGAGAGAAAGAGAGAGAGAAAGAGAGAGAGAGAGAGAGAGATGACCACAGCAGAGTAGGATAGAGGCAGGTAAAAAAGATGATGGCTAAAACAGCTTAGGTGTCCTTCATCCAGGTCACCCTATGTTCTTCCATTTATAGGCCAGGGGGAGGCAGGGTACAATGATTGTGGAGGTCAAAGCACCACAGTTCAAATCCTGCCTCTGACACTATCTAATTTTATGACCATGGGCAAATCACTTCATCTCCCTGGGCCTCAGTTTCCTCATCTGTAAAATGAAGGGATTGGATGATATGTTCTCTGAGGTTCCTTCTAGTTCCAAATCTATTACCCTCTGCCCCTAGTTGTGAGTGAATTGCCCACAACCAAACCTGAGCTGCTTGTTCTTTTGTCTTTTATCTCGAGATAATGAAGAAGGAATTGTAGGATGCAGGGTACTTATTCTTATCATAAATGACATCATCAAAGTACTCACCATTCTACAGCTCCTACTCCAATACCCCAAGATGTAATAGCTAGCATTTATATAGCACTTGAAGATTTGCAAAGTACTTGACAAATACTATCTCCCTTTACCCTCACAATAAGCCCTGGGAGATAGATGCTATCTATCTATCTTCATCTTACAGAGGAGGAAACTGAGGATGACTGAGGTTAAGTGACTTGCCCAGGGACACACAGCTTCCAAGTAGGATTTGAACTTGGGTCTTCCTGACTCCAGGTTGAGTCTTCTATCCCCTGTACTACCTAGGTGCAATTATACTGTGCTTTTTATTACCACAGCCATTAAACACTTTCTAAAGTAATGACTGGTAAAGGTGATTTAATGAGATAGAGTTTAAAGCAGGTTCCCCACCCCTGCTTTAAAGGAATGGAGGGGAGTTTGATAAACAGGTAGACAAATGTAATTATATTGGTATACACAGGCATACCCCCTAGCCATAGATTATAGAAAGGCAGGTGATTGACTCCTCCCGGCAGATCCCAAGGGGAGTGGCCTCCGGACCTTCCTCAGGCTGCTTCCTGGCTGCCTTCAGACACACCCACGTCTCCTCCTACCCCGCCCCCACTAACTATCGTTCTCTATCTCTACTCACTGCCTCCACTTTCTCTCCTCTCTTTATCATCTGAACCCTTGGCCACCTGGCTTCTGACCTCTTCATTCACCTGAACCTTTCTCTCTCCAGAATTACTGATGACCTCCTAAGGGCCAAGCCTAAAGGCCTCTTTTCGGTCCTCATGGTTTCTGAGCTCTCTGCAGCCTTTGACATTGCTATCACCCCCTTCCCTGGGCGCCCTTCTCCCTAGGTTTCACGATTCGGCTCCCCTACATCTCCTTGTACTTGTCTGTTGGTGGATCTTCCTCTAGGTCACACCTGCTCATTGTGGGGGACCTCCAGGCTCTACCTGGGGCCTTTTCTTCCTGTAACTTATTTATTATTATTGGCGATCTCATGATCCTACTGGATCTCTATGCTATTGGATACTCCTTAGACATCTTAAATTTGACACAGCCGAAACAACTTACTGTCTTTCCCCCAAATCCTCCCTTCTTTGAGCTTCCTTATTATGGAGACTCACAATCTAGGAGTCATCCTCAACCCCTCACTCTCACTCACCCCACATATCCAATCTGTAGCCTAGTCTCCATCTTCAAAACCTCTCTCCTCTCCTCTGACACTGCCCCCACCCTGGTGCCTTCATCACCTCTCATCTGGATAATTGGAATAGCTGCTGGTGGGTCTGCCTACATCTCATCTCTCCCACTCCCACCCCAATCCTTCCTCCATTCAGCCACTAAAGTGATTTTCCTCAATCACAAGTCTGACCATTCAAAACATTTCTTCACTCCTCCCCACTACACACAATCCCAGTGAACTCCAAAGGCTCCTATTACCATAAACCCTTCTGTTTGACTTTTAAAGGTATCACAATCTGGCCTCTTATACTTCTTAAACTTTATTCCTCTCCAGGTACTCTGTGATTCAGCTACATTGACCTCCCAGCTCCTCCTCCATTTCCCAACTGCAGATTTGAACTGGCTGTCCCCATGCCTGGAACGTTCTCTCGTCACCTGTACCTCTGGCTTCCTGTCTCAGCTAAAATCCCACTTTCTGAAGAAGCCAGATTTTCAGGCTCCCAATCCAGCATGCATTTTGCTGCTGGAGCTGGAGAGAGCATTTGGGGACACAAGTGCCCAGAGTTTTGGAATCTGAACCAGGAGGTTTCCCCTCCCTGAACCCTAAGCCTTCAGCTTCATCTTCAGAAGGGACGGGTTCTGTAAGAAGGTGACAGGTAGGGACTAAAACTTGGGGATATGGCGCTAGGCTGGGAGGGGCAGTCCCAGGAAGCCGGCAGCAGATGGGAAAGGAACTCTGAACAGGGACTAAAAGAAGTGAAACGTGGCCAGTCTGGTTTACGGCTGGGGGAAGAGATTCTATGTCAGTTGGACATCCCAAACAAACGAACAAACAGATGTAGATGAGTGTTTCACGGAATTACTGATTCATACACTTAGATTGGGAAGGGATCTTAGGGTCATCTTCCAATCCCTTCATTTCACTGATAAGGACTTTCCCGAAATCACACAAGTAGTGTCAGAATTGGGGTTTCCCCCCAGGTCCTCAGACGTCAACGCCTCTACCAGCCCGTCTCCCTGATTTTCTAATGAGGGAAGGGGGGTTTAAAGCAAACAGGTGAAGACTTTTATTCTTTTTTTTTTTTATGGGAGGGAGAGGATTTGGAACTCAAATTTTAAAAAGAAAAGCATCTAAAATAAATAAATGATAATTTTTTTAGAAATTAAAAAAAATTACCAACAGGTAAAAACTTTAAATGGAAATAGAGGAGGGTGTGTATGTGCCAAAATCTAGTCCAGAGAGAAGCGCCACTTATTTGAGATTGTAAATATTTATTATAAAATTTAGAAACAATAATTATATGAAAACATTTAAGAAATATCTGGATTCAGCTGCCTGACTTGTTACCTTGATAAGTGAAGTAAGAGAACTTCGAAATACCAGCAAATGGGCAGGACACCTGTAGTCAGGCATGTCGTCACCTTTCCCAGCCTCCTTCCCTCCTTCATGGTGGCAAAGCTGCCCAGGGCTTCCTAAGTTTGGCTGAGCAGCTGTGATAACAGCAGCAGCTGAGGCAGCAACAACCACCACATTTATAGAGCTTGGGAAAGTTTGTAAAGTGATCTGTATACATTATGTCACCTGTTCTCAGTAGAACCTGGTGAGGAGGGAACCATGGCCTGCACAGGTTATGTGACTGGCTCACAAGCCACACATCGAGCACAGAAGTGTCAGATTCAAATCCAGGACTTCTGAATGCCAAGTCCAGTTCTCATTAGCATGCTACTTCCATGGCTGGGTCCTAGTGTGGCCTTCCTCGATTTCTGGAAGCTTAAGGTTAGACCTTGTGCAGACATGATATAGATTTAGAATCAGAAACCCTGGGTCCAAATTCCAGTTCTATTTCTTAGTAGGTGTAAATGACCTCAGGCAAGTAACTTTACCTCCCTCTACCTCAGTTTCCTTATATGTACAAAGAGGAATTGGGACTGGATAATCTCTGAGTCTTTTTCAGCTCTAACATCCAATGATTATCTATACGGAGGAGGGGAAGGTTGTACATTTGGGGCAATGTAATGAAAAACACCAGTTGGAGAAACAGTAATTGGGCACCAACTAAAAAGACCTGGAGGGGTCATAGCTGACCACAGGTAGGAGGATCTAACTCAGGCAGCAAAGTGAATGGAAAGAGCTGGGTTTAGGTCCTGGCTCTTCCATCTCCTAGCTATGTATCTGTGGGGAGATTCTTGATCTCTCTGAGCCTCAGTTTCCTCATCTGTGAAATGGGCGTAATAATACTTGCATTACTCACCTACCTGACAAGACTCTAGTCCTATCTGGGATCACTTCTGCTTGTAGTCAGAATGAGCCTTGGGGGAGCTGGGGGAGGAGGTTAGCTCCAGGGCCTCGGGGAACGTTCTGACTCACGCTTGGGGGAATTCCAGTTCAGGCCAAATTTCCTTCCCCTCCCTACCCCACCCCTCTCCCTCTCACGCCCCTAACTCCAGGGAGTCTCTTGCTAGTTGATTTAGAACTCCCAGATTATCTTGAAACTGACCTAACTCTCCTGAGGTTTTTAGGATTTGAGAGATAAATCTGAGCTTGCCGCAGGTCTCATAGGGCGGCTATATTCTCAAACAGCCTACCCGGCCCCCGTCCAGGCTCAACCCTAGGCTGGTGCCAGGAGCCTGTGAAATCACCCCCTAAGCTTTAGGGTATGAGTCAGCATACCCAACCGGCCCAGAGTAGCCCCTGTGCAATAAATAACCTGTGCTGAATTGGCTTGAGTCTAAGGTAGGAAATTCTGGGCAGCCGTCCTTCCAACCAGCCTGGCTGGGATCCAGGTGAAAGGTGACCAAAAGCAGGGGCTTTCTGCGCGTATGCCGAGCCTCAATTTCCCCCTTCCAAAATTTAAATCACATTTCCCCCTCCACCCCCGCCCCTACTCCCTAGCTAGCTCATGAGAGTGGACTACAAACCGAACCCCAAGGCTTAGGGCAGAGCTAATTCTGAAAGACGATCCCGGAGACCCTGCTGAAACAATGCACCAGTGGCCGCAGACAAGTGATAATGCAGTAAATTATTCGGTCCCGTAAGGGAACGTTGGAGCACTCTAAGAAGCTTACGGGCCGAACTAAATCCGCCTTTTCATTTCTCTTTTCAAACCGTCCAACTGAGCGCTAAACAAGGAGGCTAAAAATAGAAACCCTCCAACTATAGTGTGCTGAGCAGTTTAATAAAAAATTAAATCAAACAGCTCCTCCGCAAGGGTCTGCCAACAACAACATCAACGGTCCCCCAACACCCACATGGCAACTTGCTTGCCTCACTGGCGTTCCTACGCTCTAATTGGGAAAAGCTAAAGAGCTAGCTTGCTATCTTCCCTACAGATATCCTTTCCTCTCCTTTGTACAGACTGCGCCTTCCACCCCACCCCACAAAACCTGGAGAGCCTCTTCCCCCGCATCCTTACTTCTAAGAATCTCTACCTTCCTTCAAGGCTCAGCCAAAGCTTCTTTTCCAAAAGAGGTCTCCGACATCCCATTCCCAGCCAACTGCTACTGTTCCATGTCCCACCCCCCAACAACAATTAATTTGTATATATTTTGCAATGACTTATCTGTGCCATACTCCAGTAAAATATAAGCTCCTTGGGGCAGAGTCTGTTTTGTTTTTGTGTCCCTAGTGCCCGGAACAGTGCTTGGCATACACCAGGTGCTTAATAAATGCTTATAGAATGAATAACTTTTGAAAGTGGTTTTAAGATTTCTTGACATCTTGAGGAGGGAGGTAGGGAGGGAGGAGGAGAAAATTTAAAACTCAAAAGCTTATGGATGTGAATGTTGAAAACTAAAAATAAATTAATATATATTTTAAAAAAAGAAAGTGGTTTTAGTGCCTTTCAGTTTAAATTCCTGGCTCACAAAGTACAATTCTTCAACCAGCTTTGATATCCTATCCTTGCACAATGTTTTAAAAAATTTTTGGTTTTTAAATGACTCATTTATAAATATATCCCTTCCCCTCTCCTCCCCAGCAAGTCATCCCTTGTAATACAGAATATATTTTTTAAAAGAAATACAGGAGAAATAAAGAAAACACCAATCGGCTTGACAGTTTAGGTAATGTTCCATACCTGGAGATCCCTGTGTAGTTTTGATTTTGCCTGAAGAAGGCCAAGGTAGCTTCTGCGGATTTCCTGTAGCTTTTGATGAACTCTGTCACTTTGCAGAAGCCTTCGGCCAGGCCGTCCCCCGAAATGGCACAGCAAGGCTGGACGTACCAGTCCCTGTCACCACAGTTTTTCTTCATCTTGAATTTCCTGGTGATATCCTCGGCTGTGCAGGCTCCGGGCAGATCTTGTTTGTTGGCCAGCAACAGGACCGGAACACACCTGATGTGCTCATTCTTCAGGAGAAGCTTGAATTCTCTTCGGGAGTCCTCCAGGTGCCTCTGGTCGGTGCTGTCCACCACATACACCAGCACATCCGTGTTCTCACAGTACTGGTCCCAAAAGCTCCTCATATGGAGCTGCCCTCCGACATCCCAGACTGTGAGATGGATGTTTTTCTCCATCTTTATCATTTCCACGTTGAAGCCAATGGTTGGGAGGGTTGTGAAGTCCTTGGCCTGCTTTAGTTTGTAAAGGATTGTTGACTTCCCTGAGAAATCCAGTCCCAGAAGCAAAACTCGGGCATGCTTGACCTTGGAGAATTTACAGTTACAGACACCCATTCCAAGCCCCTCTTCCAGAAGCTCTACCTGTCCTGTAGAAAAAGGCCGAGAAGGAGGGAGCAGAAGCTGCTGTGGGCTAAGAACAGGGACCTTTGTACATTTATACTTTGCCTTTGTTGACCCAAATATAGGCAAACAGTGTTTTACGAGTCGTTGATCCAGCCAGCCTATCCTAGGACTGGAGGTGCTATGAGGCATGAGACATGAATAACCAGCCACCCAATCAATCTTGCAGCCCAAAGGTTGAAATATTTTACAAAGAATAGGATCATGGTAGTGCCATACCCTGGAAAAAACAGCAGCTTTGTTCTTCTCAGGGTGCCAGAATTTGAGTCAGAAAAGGCAGTTAATCAATCAATCAATCAATCAATCAACATTAAGTGCCAGGCACTTCGGAGAGCTGCCTTTGGAGAGAAGTACCCTGGTGTCACTATGGAAAACTGAGTTTGCAAGACTTGTGGAATCATGGGAGCTCAGACCTGGGAGTGACCTCTAAAGGGTCATCTGGTCTAGCTGGGTCCAGATCATGAATCTTTCCACAACACTTAAGGCATCCCACCTCTGCCTTCCAGATGGATCCCATTCTGCCTTGGGGGTCACTGTATTTGTTAGGAGGTTTTCCTTAAAATCAGGAATACTTAACCTTTTTGTGTGCTATGGACCCCATCTCAGAATGTTTGTAAATGCATAAAATAAAGTACGTAAGATTAGAAAGCAAACTAAGTATTTTGAGATGCCATGCGGTAAAGCCTAATATCTTTAAATGACTACCATAAAGCTCACAAGATTTTGAAAGAAATCAGTTATATTGAAATAGTTATTTTTCAAAAACCAAGTTTATAGACCTTAAAGTAAGCACCCCTGCTTTATATCACAGTGATATCTTTGTCTCTGCAACTTAGAGTGAGAAGGAAATAGATTTAGAGTTGGAAGGGACCTTAGAAGCCTCTCCATTTTGCAGATGAGGAAACTGAGGCCAAGATAGATTCAGTGACTTGCAGGTAGTAGTGAGTAAAGCTGAGATTTGAACCCGAATGTTCTGACTTCAGATGGAGAGATCTTTCCGTTGAAACACACTGCTTCCCATCCATTGTGGTGCCCAGAAGGAAAGTCTAATGCTTCTTCTATATGAAAGCCCTCCTTGTTCCCCATTATTCTTGTCAGCCCCTTTAATTCCTTCATTGGATCCTTCTGGGGCATCATCTTGAGCATCCCCTAACTTCTCATTATTCTTCCTCCAATATGGCTCCTCCCAGATGGGTCTGACCCTACAAAAAAGTCAGTCTTGCTTTCCTCACGTATCATCAAGCATTGGCTGGCCCGATGATTAGACTACTATTTATTGTTTATTTTAGGAGTTATTTTAATTTTCTTTGATTATTTTATTTATTAAAATTTTAAAGATGTAGTCATTTTCAGATGTACCTCTACCTCTTCCGTACAAGCTTCCCTTGCACCAAAGAGAAAGAGCTAAGCCAGACCAGTCAACACAGCAATTTTGCCTGACAATGTATGTGGTGCCTTGCCTGGGATGGTTCCCTACCTCTCCATGGAGAGTAAGGGTGTATATTTCATCATGTTCTCTGTGATCGAGTTTGGTCATCATTCCTCCTGCTTTAACAGAATAGAAGGAAGATGAACTAAAACCTTAAATTTAATTAATTTTTAATTTTTAAATGTATATGCATAAAACTGTTAGACCAGAGGATATCTGTGCTCTGTTTTGCGTGGAAGAGGCTGCAGTTTTGATGCCTTACATCTCCACACAATATTTCCATTAGGTTACTAGCTTCTGGTGGAGCAGAGGCAGCTGGGTGTGGAAGGAGCGCTGGGCCAAGAGTCAGGAAGACTTGAGTTCAAATCCAGCCTCAGACAGACGCTCACTAGCTGTGTGACCCTGGGCAAGAAACTTAAACGCTGCCTGCTTCAGTTTCCTCATCTGTAAAATGGGGATCATAATAGCACCTACCTCCCAGGGTTGTCATGAGAATCAAATGAGATGAGATAAAATCACCGTGCCTGGTACGCTGTGCTTAATAAATGCTTGTTTCTCTCCTCCCTTCCGGGAGAGCAAAGTGGAGGTCATTTCTATGTCTCTCCTTGCCCCAGCACCGTGCATACAGTAGGTCCTGAAGTTGCTTAAAATGAACAGAATCTAAAAGAAAAACCCAGCTACCAGCCAAGGTCAAGTGTAACACAAAGAGGTATCTGGAGGGGAGCTCAAGGTTCCTTCCTCCCGTTGTCCCTGCCAAAGTGCTGCTGACACCCAGATACTGAGTTCTCCCACTGATCTTACAGGATATTCCTCTGGATAGGCAGATTGCAGCTACTCTGTGCCCACCTTTCTCCTCCCCTGAGTTTGGGGGTGGGTGGGGGGAAGGCATTTCCACAGATTAGAGGCCTTTCCCTGTTTTGCTAGACACTGTGAGAATACTCATGGAGAACACAGGCTGTCAATCTCTCAGTTATCTCTTGGTCTTGATGTGACCATCTGTTAAATTGGGATGATGATCATTGCCCTATCAAATGCATAGGCCCGTTGTGAGGAAAATGCTTTGTGAATCTTAAAACACTACACAAGCACAAGTTATTATTTTGATGGAATGTTACATTTTCTTTATTTGGGGTGTTTTTTGTTTATTTCTATACATGCTTATTTTAAGGTAAATATTACTACTTTGTTTTATATATATATCTATATAGATATATAGATATATCTATATATCTATATATAAAATTCCCACTGTCATTTTGCTTTTTTGGGGGGGGGGAACGGGTGTGAGACAATTGCGGTTAAGTGACTTACCTAGGGGTCACACAGCTAGTAAGTGTCAAGTGTCTGAGGTCAGATTTGAATTCAGGTCCTCCTGACTCCAAGGCTGGAGCTCTATCCACTGCATCACCTAGCTGCCCCTCCACTGTCATTTTGCAATGGCTTTGGGGGAGGGATAAGACAACTTGGCTTTCTTTTTAATTACATTTTAATTTATTTTCAAATGAGGACTCATTCACCTTCTCTCTCCAGTCACTTCCTCTTCCCCACCCCATAAAGAAAACAAGAAAAACAAGATCCTCTGTTACAACAACTTGACTGAGTCTGGGTTGGGTAGATGCTGACTGGTCTTGGACAAGTCACATAACATGTCTCGGTCTTTGTTTCTTCATCTGTAAGATAAGGGGTTGAGCTAGATGATCTCTAAAGGCCTATTGACCTAAATGATTACTTTATTGAACGCTGAACCTGGAATTAGAAAGAACTATGTTCAAATTCTGCCTCAAACACTTTGCTGTGTGACCCTGAATCACTTCACCTCTATCTGCCTCAGTTTCCTCCTCTGTAAAATGGGGATAATAAAAGGACCTACCTCCTCAAAAACTTTAACGCATTCTATCAATGCTATTACTGTTATTAGTAAAATTAAATAAACAAAATATTCCAGATGTAGTTTGGCCAGTTCAGACTACAATGGAATTATAATCTCTGTTGTTTGGTATCCTATGCTTCTGTTAATGCAGCATAAGATTGGGTTAGGTTTTCTTGGCTGCCGTATTTTTTAAAAATGTATCTATTTTTAGTTTTCAATATTCACTTCCATAAGATTTTGAGTTCCAAATTTTCTCCCCCTCCTTGCCCTCCCCCCACCCCAAGATGGTGTGCAATCTGATAAAGGCTGTACATATCCATTCACATTAAATATTTTCACATTAGTCATGTTGTAAAGATGGGAGGAACCACGAGAAAGAACAAACAAACAAACAAACAAACAAACAAAAAAAGAGAGCAAATGCTATGCTTTGATCTGCATTCAGACTCCATAGTTCTTTTTCTGGATGTGGATAGCATTTTCCATCATGAGTCTTTTGGAGTTGTCTGAGATCTTTGCATTGCTAAGAAGAGGTAAGTCTATCAAAGTTGGTCATTGAACAATGTGGCTATTACTATACACAATGTTCTCCTGGTTCTGCTCACTTCACTCAGCATCAATTCACGTAAACTTTCCAGGTTTTTCTGAAATCTACCTGCTCATCATTTCTTATGGAACAATAGTATTCCATTACATTCATGTATTGCAACTTGTTCAGCCATTCCACAATTCATGAGCATCCCTTCAATTTCCAGTTCTTGGCCACCACAAAAAGAGTTGCTATAAACACTTTTGTACATATGGGTCCTTTTCCCATTTTTATGATCTCTTTGGGATACAGACCCAGAAGTGGTATTGCTGGGTCAAAGGGGATGCATAGTTTTATATCTTGGCTGCCATCTTATGTTGTGGAGTCACTCTGAGAAAATAAAGAACATCCACATATCCCTACACATACACACACCTGTTTTTTGTTTTTTGTTTTTTTTTTTTCAGATAAAATGCTCTTTAGACTTAGACTTCTGTAGGTTTTTTTTTTTAAACCTAAGTGCCTAAAGACTTTGTATTTCTCCTTCCTATTTTGATGTCTCAAAGTGGCACGGAGATAGATGACCTTGAGTTCTTTAAAGTCTCTGCCCCCTGAGAACAAGCTCTGGACAGGCTGTGTGCCCGTTGTCTGAGCTAAGTTTAGAGGCGCTCATTGCCAGATTGACTGCAGGGTGACAATTGTTCAGTCACGGTCACTTGATCTGTCGGACGGGCCAACGCTTCTTATTTAGTATGAGGAGTGAGGAGTATCCAGCCTGGTGAAATTGTGGACCTTTGATGTATTGAACTCTTCCTGTTAACACGTTTAGCCCATTGTTCCAGTCCGTCCAAATCGTTTTAAATAACCATTCTGTTATCCAGCATATTACCTACGCCTTCCAACTTTTGTCATATGCAAATTTAATAATCCTGCCTTTTGTGTCAACATTCAAATCAATGGTTAAAATATCAAATAAAACAGATCCAAGTATAGAGTTCATGACATGCCACTGGATGCCTATTTCCAGGTTAATGTTAATCCATTAGTCAACACTCCTTGGGAATTGGTCATGCAACCACCTATGAATACACCCAACTGTAATATCA